ATTTAACCTTAAGTTTACAATAAGTTATTATTATATATTTAAATTATATAAAAAATTATATATTTAGATTGATACACATAAATATATAATTTAATATAATTTTTAATTTTAAACTAAATACTCACAAATAGCTCTTAAGTCATAATTCAAATTCAAGTTCAAACTTGTTTTTTTATTGAGCTCTATCTTAAACTCAAGTTGAACACATTTATTTAATGAGTCAAGTTCGAGTCAAAATTGAGTTGAATTCAAGTCAAACTTGACTCGAGTAGTTCGCGAGCTACTTTACTCGCTAACAACTCTATCGATTAGCATTAATATCTAATAATAATAATTAATATAAATAATAATTTTGAGTTTGTCCAACAATTTTGATTAAGTGCTATTTGGCTCCACACTTTTCCAATTTCTTCAAATTGATTCCTACATTTTTAAATTACATCAATTTAGTCTTTTTACTACAATTTAATTCAAATCAATCCTTTTACTTTTAAATTGTTTCAGTTAGGTTTAATATATTTAAATCCTTTTATTTACATCCTTGAATGTTTGGGTTAGTTTCATTCAAGTCCATCAATTTAAAAAGTGTTTTAAATAAGTTGAATTATTCCCCAATTTTAAGGTATGCAGATGTATGTCATATAGAGAATTGAAAAGTAGATGTATACCATTCATCATTGCTAACCATACTCATAGAACTCTATCTCTACACAAACCATTTTAAGTAACTTATCCCACCTTATAATTTAAATGAATGGCAACTTCAATTTTTTTGAATTTCGCAATTCTCATTTGAAAATTTTATATTTTGATTTTTCAGTGGTTGCCAATACAATGGAGTAAGAATTGAGATGTATTCCCCTCTCTCTTTCTCTCTCTCTCTCCCCTATATATATAAGAGAAGTGTTTGTCAATTAGGCCTCTAAAAACTTAGGAGGAAAAAAAAAAAACCCTAAAAGCACATTGTTTTGATAAATGATGTAGTTTTATAGTAATTTTTTACATAATTTTTAAGAGGCCTTGCTAGTAAAAACTTTTCCCTATACATAAAAGAGGAATTCATTTATATATAAGTTTTACACACCATAGTTACACAAAATCTTTACCATTCATTGTTTCACTTTCAATGATTGAGATTTCTCATTACTTTTTATTGAATAAATCTCTCAATCATTCAAAATGGAGAGATGATATATATATATATATATATATCATTTTATAAAGTTAGGATTCACTTAAACATAAGTCTTATACAAATTATTTATACAAAATCTTAATTATTTATCTCTATTATAAATGGTTGAGATTTATCACAGGTTTTTAGAAGAAAAAGACAACTATCTTAAAAAATAAGATAAAAATTAGTGGATAAATCTCAGCAATTTATGATCGAGAGATAAATGATCATAATTTTGTATAAATAATGTGCATAAGATTTGTATATAAATTGACCCAACTCATATTTATATGATATTAGTATTTATCAACTAGATTTATATAAACTTTGGAGGAAAAATACTGTAAAATTACATCATTTCAATAAAACACCATCTAAGAAGACCAAAAGAGTTATTTGTGCCTTAAAAATGAGTTATTTTAATCATTTTCAATAGGAATTTATTAAAATTACATAGTTTTTTTTTTTCTCATAGCTTTTTAGAAATTTAATTGCTAAACGCTTTTCCATATCTATATAAAATAGGAAAAATTCCTTTTATGGTACGTTCATCAAATTTTTCTTTATTATTTAATGTCATTTTAATTTTAAATGTTATATAAGTGAAAAGCTTGTAACGAAATTCATTATGACTTTATAATTGTATTAGAAATTTTTATAATGTCTATAATATCTTTTTTTTATTTAATAGTTAAAATATTAAATTTTTATTAATATTAACAATCAAACCTCTAAAAAGTTAGGAAAAAAAAAAACATTCTAAAACTATGTCATTTTATATTAAACTCCTTTCGAAAAATATTAAAATAAGAATTAAATTGTTTTGATCTCTTCCACTATCTTCTAATGAAATTACGTAGTTTTAGAATATTTCTCTCTTGATTTTTCAAAGATTTGGTTAATAAATACTACTAATCTCTCAAATAAATTACTATAAAATTGAAAAAGAGCAATCAAAACTTTCTCTCCACATTTTTCCCACTATCTTTATCATCATTAAAGGTGAAAATATTTTGTTCAATTTTAAATTACTTAATAGTTAAAATTATTATTTTTTTGTTTGTTAGATTAATTTATTTAAAATTTTAGTTAATTGAAATATTTTGCCTTGATTAATGATTAGGGATCTTTTTTTTTTTTTTTT